TAAAAGATCAGCTTTCTCATTTGCGGCGTGGCCAAGCACGTTATGATTCTTGCGCAAAGATGGTAATGATGGTCTACAGAAATTCTATTGAGCAGCCTTGCCAAAGGTATAAAAACGCACGAGTTCTCGAAGGAAGGCTAACTAGTTTCTCGCCAATTCTCCCAATGTTCTCCAATTTTGCCCTAACGATGACCCTTTTGAAGGACCTGGAGGCAGAGCTGTACTTATTATTGAGTGCGTTAGTGGTGGACGGACGGACCGGGACACCGAGGCGTCAGCCAAGGCCTAGTAAGACTCCTGCTTTTGCCGCGACGCAATTTTGCAGTCCAAACCAATACCGGCACCTGCCGCCGGTAGGCACTACGGATGACGGGATCAAAAGTTCCATCATCTGAAGCACCACATTGGCGCCAGACTCAGCAACGAATTTTTTAAGAAGAAAAGGCGCTAGTGGATGACATCGTTAAAATAAAAAATTCAACACCACACACACAATTAGACCACTCCATATCTATGTAGACATGAGAGTACCTCAACGTCGGACGAGTTGAGACGAAATGAACGAGTTCAATCTTGTAAGCACACACCACGCCACGAGCGCCGCGCCTTTGAAGTTACCGATTTTAAATGGATAGCACGCGCCGCGCCACGCCTGCCTGCGCCAAGCCCTTCACACTGCGCGTGGTGCGGGCGCGTAAGTCACACAGTGAGAAGCCGCACGATCACGTAAGATTTGTTGTTTTCAGGAAACGATGTTACACAAAAAGTACTTGCTCCTTGTAATTCCCTCCATACCCCGCGTTACGAACATTTTCTTTTTAGAACACATTGAAAAAGTGAGTTTATTCCGAGACACCCGGTATAATGTCAATGGTTGCTTGGTCTTTCCGTATTTGAGGCTGATAACCCCATCAAAAATATCACATTAGGATTTGAGGTAAAAAAAGCAATAATTTTCAACTTCAACACCATTTTATTGCAATAACAAAAAAAATTGACATAAATTGAGCAAATAAAACAATGCGTGTCGGCCACAAACTAATAGATACCATATATTTTACCTATGCATAATGGGTACATAACATACATTTCGATTTGAAATACCATAATATTCACTTAACATAGTTAAAATACTAATACAGTTAAAATAAGTGTCGTTCGAGATTCGCAAATGAGCAATCAAAATATTGATAAAAGCCGTTCACACGAGTGTTTCCTCCAAAGTGTGGCTCTGAATATAAGCATAAGTTTTTTGTATATACGTCTTTCTTTTAGAGTTATTAGCTCAAAATAATTACAAAATATTATTTATTTCGATACAAAAGGAAAAATATTTTTACCGATTTTATTTTATAGTCAGTTTTTCGCAACCACAGTAACAGTTTTTTTTATAGAATAAGAACGGCAAACGAGCACACACTTCACCTGATGGTAAGTGAATGTTATGACCCACAGACATCTACATCTTTCTTCGATTATCAATCAAAATGCAGATGCGCTGTCACCTATGTTCACAATAAGATGGAATGCCTCGATTTCAATAAAAGCGGTCTCCAGTTCTCTACACTCGCCATTCGAAACACAGCAGCATCAAGATACTATTTTACGCTGGTGTTCTGTGAGAACGTGATTCTTTGCCGGTCGAGCCGCAGCATGTCTCTAGCACGTTAAGTGGAAACAAATAACTCATTTAAAATAAGTAATATTGATAAAAGTTACTTGTGGTACTGCTTTTTCATCGGCTCTATTGTATACTCCGTCGGGGAAAAAATGGGTGTAATAGGTGAACGGAGTAGATGCCTGTGGTATAGAATATTTTTGGTTTGACAAAAAGAAATTTTATTCATGAGTAATCTACTTTACGCGGGGCAAGTATCAGTTAATTTTGAATACCTTAAAAATTTTACTGGTCCCGAGGTAAAAGTTCCAAATAAGTAGTATTTATAGATAAACCAGTTTCATAAAATACGGATAAAAATAAATTAATTTGAAAAATATTAATATTATACCATAGACTTCTACTTCTTTCAATTATTATAACCCAGTACAGTACACAGGCGTGGATTTAAGGAGAATCTCATAGGCCCCCCTAAACATTTTATTTAAAGTATAATTTTGCTCCTTACTTTAATTTTACATTGAGATACAAGAATGGTATGAGTGAACTTAAGTCTCTGAATTCCTTTCTGAATTTCGATCAGCGCCTGCATGACAATGAGTATAGCTTGATCATTTTTCTTAATGCTAAGATTTTAGAGGTTATTCATATTTTTTTGTAAATTACAAACTTATTTTTCAGTATATAAAACAAGGAATTAAAAAAAAAACATTTCATTTCAAATAAATGGAATTCTTTATGTTGTGTTCGTCAGTCTATGAACCCTTCCAGTATATTTTAACGCACTTTGAATTAGATGCTTACTTAGAATTAAGTGACAAAAAATAGTTAAGATTACTTGGCAAATGTTTATGTGATATGATCTGGTAACAACTAATTTAATTACTATTATTATTACAAATATTGAAAGCAGACTTGTTTGCGACTGATATTGTAATAATAATTAGTTTTTACTAAATTACCTACATTCCGTTTAGTCAATAAAAACTTAAGTCTTTCTTTTTTAGTTAAAGGAAATTACTATAAAATAAGGTTGTTGTCTTTTATTCTAAAGAGATTAATAAAAAAGGGTTTTAAAAGTAACACATTTTCTAAAATTTCTCTACATATATTTTGTAAATGCTTGCACCCCTCTCTCTCTCACTGTGTGATTTTTTCTAACATTTACTAGTTAATAGCATATGAAAACACCAGTTCTGACTTTATACTTATTAAGTTTCTTTGGTAATGCAATTACATTATAACTTAAAGACTAGCACATAACTACACTCCTAATATTAAATTATTTGTTTCATATTTAAAATGGTGTATTAAATTACATGAAATGTATACAATAATATGCCTAAGTGTATTTAAATTTAATTAATGCTAAAATGGTAAATAAAAACATCTATTACATAAATTACAAGAAATGGACCTAAAATAAAACATTCCAGTAAGAAATAAGGAACCCATTGCTTATTTCGAACTTGTCTTTTTTAATTCTTAGGACTCTGATCAATCTTCCTTTACAATACATATGGATATACAAATATATAAAACGTAAAATAATTTACGTAACCTATTTGAGGAATAAAATAAATGCTAAATTATTACCCTGATACAAAAGCTTAGTCAAAAAGTTCGAGCCAATATACCAAATGTATATGTAAACAAATAATGTAAATAAAATCTATAATTGAATAATAAAAATCTATATTGATATACTCAGATCTTAATAATCATATTAGAACAATTGTTTTAGATAAAAACAACTAAAAATAAAAATATATTATGCTTATAACATATTTGGTATTAAATGATTTTTGGTAGTAAATTAGGAATATAAAAACGCCCTTGTCTTGTAAAGGCGACGTCATGTGACGTATTAGGATTAAAATATCACTTGGTAAATTCTGTGAGCATAAAAATATCAGTAACTAATAAATAGGCCGTAAAACTCAGATGAGTGCAACTGCACTACATTACAGTAACATTCACATAAAAACCTATTTACCATACATACCAGGTATACATGTGAGCATGGAGGTTAGAGAGGAGAACGATCGCTACGTGCTAAAGCATAGCCCGCCGGTCCCTGAACTGCCGTCGGTAAGTAGTGTCTGCGAAGTTAGCTGTTTATGAGCACAAGTAGATGAAGTTAGTTGAATAATGTACAAACTTTCTAAAATAATCGTGCTCCGTAATTTTTTTAATTTTTGACAAAAAGAAACATAAAAAAATGGTGAAATACTGTATTGTGCGTGGATGTGCGAGTGGTTTAGCATCTGATCGGAAAAATAGACTGAAAAACAATTTGCGTCAATCATCGTTATTTAGTACCAAAGGTAATATCTTTATACGTTATAGATTCATAGCTGCGCATTGAAATATTGAATATGTTAAATTATTATTTGCTTAAATCATGTTTTTTACTAAATTAGTTTTTATTGAACTTTTAAGAAATTGTTCAAGTTAATGTTAATTACAAGATTTGCAAGTTAGTAAATTCTTAAAATTTATAATAATTGATAATAATATAATTATTTATTCATATATAATTTAGTATTATTATAAATAATAATAATTTCGTATTTATTTCTTCAGTCAATCAGTACTAATAAATAATACGTATATCTTTATTTTCTTTGAGTGACTATAGATCATTTCAAATTAGCGCACAACAGCCTGCTTTTATTGAGACAACTTAGCGATCGCAGCGCCTCGCTCATTTTGTCCATATTTCTGTGACACTATTTTCTACAGCGATCGTTCCCCTTCTCTCTAACCTCCATGTATGTGAGTTTGTTTGAAGGAATGACTTAAAATGTCTATATAGATATAAATTTATGTTAGTTAGTGGATGAATAATCCAGTGTTATCTAAATATCTTTGGCCTTTATCTTTGAAAAATCAATAATGAACAGTTACTGGTAGAAGCCAAAGTGGATTATTCTTTATACCCACTAATTTCTAAGTCTTTTTTTTCTACAATATTTACACAGCTTTGTGTATAAATCTCCATGATACAATATTTTTTAAACCATTATTAACAAATGAGATTCCTGCAATTTTTAACAAGTTAAATATTGTTATGAATAAGGTAGCGTAAAACTGTTCGAAATTTCTAACATCTTCTACCTTTATAATGTAACATGGCAAGACAATATCACTTTAACTTACTATCACATATGATGTATCTAACAGCCATTCTTATTAATAAATAAAACTTAATCCAGATAAAGTAAAAAAAAACCGTTCACTTAGCTGTGTACGACATTCGTGACTTTTCTTTTATTATCTCTCTATTGCATTCGCAACTTTATCACCACATATCAAAGTCACACACTACGAAACTAACATGGAAAGCTTGACCACATTAAAAAACAAAAGGAATGATTGTTCAACGACTATCTGTGACGGATGTGTCGTTAGTTCTTAGGATTTTAGGCAGATCACCCGTACCGAAGCGAATGCCATAAGGTCGCAAATGGTATATCAAGTAGTCTAAGACGTACATTTCTAAAGGATCCACGTAATGGAAGGATACGGCGTGATCTGAACAGCAATCAAGACCCTGCAAGTAAAATATTTAAAGTATGATTAATAAATGTGAAGCAGTGGTGGCTCCGGCGCTAAGCGCTTAATGTAAATTTCGCATTACACAAGCGACCCGGATTTGATCCTTGTCAGGACCAATGAAATTGCTAATTGCAATTTTAAGCGCTGATTTACCACGTGCTTGGCGGTAAAAAACATCGTGAGGAAACCTACATGCCTGAGAAATAAGAAAAAAATATTTCGAAGTCTTGTGAAGTTCGTCAACACGCATTTGGGTTAGCGCAGCGGACACTTCATTGACCTAAAACCCTCTCAGAAATGAGACGAAGCCTGTGCCCAGCTGTGGGTATTTATTAGTGTTCTGAACCCGGGACATTTGTTACACTTGCCAAGCTTGGCAGGCGGGTTAGCAATTGAAGTATTTTATTATTTAGGGTGCTATCAGGAAAATTAGCAGCACTTTCCCAATAGCATCATCTCTTGTATCATCGGATTTCGGGGCAGTAGACTGTCTTACGTCGCCACTACACGCCCGTATTTTGTAAGAGCTGACTATAGGAAATGTTAGAAATATCTCATGGTCTACTGGCACCCAGACTGAGAGAAAGGAGGGCGCTGCGTAAAGGGTGCGAGACATTAAATAATTATTATCTCCCCAAGGGTAGAAAACTAACCATAAATAAAATAGAAATGTTAGGCTCTCAAGCATAATCTAAAGGTGGGTCTACGCTAGACGAGCCGAGCATGTGCCGAGCACAAATTTTTTTAAATAGAAGAGGGGGCAAACGAGCATGCGGCTCACCTGATGTTAAGTGACTCATGATCAACCGCAACACCAGGGGAATTGCAGGTGCGTTGCCGGCCCTTTAGAAAAGAGTAAGCTCTTTTCTTGAAGGTCCCCAGGTCGTATTGGTAATTCGTGCAGTGTGGACCGACTTGCAAGCCTCAGCGAGCGCGCTTCGAGCGTCTGGCTGTGCTCGACTGCGCTCCTTTTTTAACAAACACAAAGGGATTTGCATCGCATGCATCGACTCACATGTTGTAGGTCCACACTTAACACCGCGAGTAGAGCGATTCAGTTTGTGCTCAGCTCGTGCTCGACTCCTCTAGCGTAGACCCACCTTAAGAACTACGCAACTTTATAAAATACTTTGATAGAATCTATTTTCTTAGAATTATTTCTATTTAATTGTAAATATATTTTTATATTTTATAGAATAAGGGTAAGCTCACACACAGTCCACCTGATGGTAAGTGGTTGCTGTGGCCCATAGCCATCTACATCTATCCTTGGTTATGAATCAAAATGCAAATGCGTTGTCACTCGTGAGGACTAATATAGAATGTCTCACTATCAGTAAAGTGTCTCCGGTTCTCTACACCCCACCACCACACGAAGCAGCATTATTCTACTGTTTCACACGGGTATTGTGTGAGCGTCGTCCTACCCTTTTTTTTATAGGATAGGGTGACAAACGAGCACACAGTCCACCTGATGGTAAGTGGTTGCTGTGGCCCATAGACATCTACACTTATCCTTGATTAAAAATCAAAATGCAGATGCGTCGTCACCCCTGAGGACTAAGATTGAATGCCTCATTTACAGTAAAATGGGTCTCCGGCTCTCTACACTCGCCATACGAAACACAGCAGCATCAAGCTACCATTTCACGCTGGTATTCTGTGAGAGCGTGGTCCTTCCCCGGTCGAGACGACCCATTCGTGCTACAACTATACTACTAATATAACTGCAGCATGGCTCTACCACAACAAAACCTTCGTGAGCCGACCCATTCGTGCTCCAACCATATATAACTGCAACAAAACCTTTGCAATGGGAAGAAACAGCAAGAAACAAAGGTACTTTTTCCAAGTAACATTTTACACATTAATACATACATTAACCACTCACGCCTGTCACCCAGAGGGGTAGGCAGAGACTACAGACTTCCATTTAGCACGATCCTGACACACCTCTCTCGCCTCCTTCACATCCATACACCTACGCATACATGCTCATTTACATATTAACATTGCATATAAGTATAGTCGCCGGCACAAGTCGTGAGCACAGATGGGGGTTAAGCCAGGGTAGGTACACTGTCGGGCAAAATTATTTGGTACCTTTATTATATCGATTCGTAACTAAATAATTTCACAGACGTTTTTTCGAAATTGTGAGTCGTTAACTCCTTCATCTTCATCAACTCCAACGTCATATCGACCAATAAAAAGTGCTCAGGACTCGTGTCGGCTATTATATATGCAGTGTTTTTCCCCTATTTCGACCTGTAGGTGTCGTAAGAGGCGACTGGAGTACACCAGAAGAGTCTTGTCTTCCGATAGATGGCGGTATAAACATGCCCAGCAGTGGAATATTCAGGCTGTTGATGACGAAGTTACTAATGTAACAAAAAACCGAACACCTTACCTCATCACTGGGGTAATAGATATACTGCCAGTACCAGAACCCTTTGTCCTTGTTCGGGAACAGATGGTGTTTGGGCATGAACGGGAAGAAACGTCCGCGATGCAGCGAGTCTCGCGAGTCCATCGCTTTTACTCCGATGTGGTCCATGCAGACGCCTGCCATTGTAAGTATTATTAATTTTCCATGAAGAAGTTTTAGTAGTTACTATAGTATTTTTGAAGTGAAAACTTCTTTGGAATCGTTGTAATTTCATATTCGATGAAACCAAAAAGCGACAAATAAAAGAGTCATACACATACATCTTATAGGATTTATCCAGCGAAAGAATGAATGAATAGAATACTGTTGCGAGCCATAATTAATGCCTGGTACATGGCGAGTTACCACTAGCGCCATCTAGTATCGAGTAGCAGAACTAGGAGAGCTTTCTAGAAAATTCCAGTATGGATTTTTCTACACCGAGTGAGACGGGATCGGTATGAACTAAACATTCTAGATATTTTACCAGAAGAGGCCCTATATAAGGCCGGTAAGAACCGCGACCGAGTGAGTATTTAATTGGCAATTTAAGCGAATACTTTGAAGTTATATAACTGCGGACTAACATGGTTAGTAGGACAATAGTGTTTTATTATTTGTGTGTTAAGTTGTAATTGGTGTTCGGCATTTAAAGTGTCAATTTGGGTAATTGAATCGGCAGATTTATTGTCACGAACCCCAAGCTCGTAACAATACAAATACTCTTTTTCTGAAGGTTTCACTTCTACTGCATGTAAACTGCATACATGTTTTTTTTTTTTGTTTAAATCCCACATAAACATGTGCCTTATAAATCCCAAACCAATATGAAACTTGGGAACAAATGTTAAAATTATGTGTATTAGTAATGCCAGAAAGATTTGATAGGGAGGTTTTTAAATAATATCTCCTTTTTTTAAATAAAGATTATTAACAGAGTTATCAACACCACTAATATTCATTTTAACCAATCCAGTTAGGATTACGGAATACTTGTGTTAGGAGTGGTTGGGAGTAGTAGTCGAATGGCAGATTGTAACCCACAACTTTTTAGTGTTGAAGTCTGTACTATAAACCACTAGTGTTCGCTCTACAGTCGCTCTAAAAATTGATATTTAAAGACATTGCCTTACCCATTTCCGCATCCTCAGCTCCGTGGTCGGTAGCTTTGCAGAGATGCGGCGAAGGAAGACCCTTATTCACGAACAGGTCCAGAGCTTCCCGACTTAGGACGTAGCCAGCTCCGCCGCTCATATAGCCCTGCAATATGACATACCAGATACAGACCATAGACATTGTTTGAATACGAATAATATAGGTGACAAACGAATATACAGTCTACCTAATGTTCATCAAAATGTCTCAAGCAGAATGTCAGAATTTTGTGCACATAATACACGTCAGACTAGGCTGTATACAGAATTGGCGGTAGAAGGAAAAGGAGAGATCTCCCACCGGGCAAGGTGTTCTGCCCGGGGAACGGAAGTGTTTTTTTTGCGCCCGAAGCAAATAAGGGCAACCCTCCGGTAACGGGGGAGGGAGGTGGAGAATGCTCATAGCATACCACGCAGCCGGCTGCGTGGTTATGTGGAGACTTTTACCCACTAAACTCCACCTTTTGGGATTGGCTTACCGATCTGACGAGAGATCTTTAAGCTGTAAACGGACGCGACCCTCCTTGGCAGAAAGGAGGGCGCAAAAGCGCTCCGAGTTCGGAGCTATTCTTTAACCTCTCGTCAGTCCAAAACCTTCTAAAGGTCGCTATTAAAAAAGTACGCATCTGTTACAACCTTTAGAAGGTTGCTATTTACTTATAAACTTCAGACACGAAACAGCCGTAGTAAATGTATACATATCTCCCTCTAACTCGTACAAAATTGTCTTAATATCATTAACCTACTTATTTCGGTATGGAATTGTCGCTATTGAAGTACAGAATGTGCCTATTTTGTGCTTGTTTCCGGTCATCCTAAGTGGCCCACATTATTGTCGAGCTTGTGGTGTAAAAAAATGTACGCGGTGTTGTGTTTTTTTTTATTAATTATTGTAAAGTGTATTATCTTATTGTAAATAAAATAAATGTTTATTGAACATTATTATTATTATTTTTTTACATTTTTTACTCAACAAACTGGAAAAAAATCGCTTCTAGCATTTTTATCATGGAATTTAGAAAATATAAAAAAGGTGAACGTACACATTTACACATATTCTATTAGCTTACTGAACAATAATTCTAACAACATATTATTTTATACAGTTTCCATACATAATTATAAATATATTGCCATTTTAATGTCACGTAGGCAATAAATCACTCGTTTAGGGTTGGACAGACGCGCCAAAGCGGGCATGTAGCCGGGACAGTTGAGGATTTATACTATTTTTACTTTGGAACTTTGATAGCGCGATTTATGCTTCGATGTGTTTCGCTTGTAGTGCGACGACAGCGCCGCCACACAGACTTAGATCATTTGTATATAAATAAAAAATCAATCAATTGATTGAATTCCGATCAGGAGCGATACTAGCAGGAAACAATTAGGAAATATAGTTCTGGTGTCCATCATCATCATTACAGCTGCTCAAAATCCACCGCAGAACGTAGGCTTCCCAGTACATTTCCAAAATAGGCGGGTGACTACCGCAGCTTTTTTATTATTGTATAGTTTTTTTTTATAATAGTGAAGTGAGAAATGAACTAACAGTCCACCGTATTGCGACTACTGCAGCCCAGGACAACTTTAAACAAGGAAGGCTATGGAAGTGTTGTCACCTCTGAGGACTAAGATGGAATACCTCATAGCATGTAATTATACTAGTTCTTTATACCCTTCAGACCGGAATAGGATAATATGCATTGCTATTTTACGGCAGAAATAAGTTAGTTAGAGAGTGTACCGACCCAGACAGACCGCAAACCAGAAAAAGGAGTATGCCTATTAAAAAAAGTTGAGTCCAAAACCAATTATATTTACGTGGCAGGGACATACTGCAGCTATTTTATGGTTGTAGCACAGACGGGTCGATGGATCGGCTCTCTCTCACAGAATACCAGCGTAAAATAGTTGCATAATGCTGCTGTGTTTCGTATGATGAGTGTACAGAATCGGTGACCCTTTTACTGGAAACGAGGCATTCCATCATAGTCCTCAGGGGTGACCACATCAGCGTTTTGATTCTTAATCAAGGATAGATATGTATGTCTATGGGTACACAGCATCCACTTACAATCATATGAGCTATGTGCTCACTTGTCACTTTTATTCTATATAAAAATAAAAACATTTGGTCTGTTTACCTGAGATGTAAAAGGTTTGAACCGGCATCCGAAGTATATAGGGTCTTTGCTGTCATAATCAGCGAGCATGTATCTGAGGTTTTCAACCACCACGTACCTGCAAACGATGGCATAAGTCTGATGTAGTAAAATTTGAAGTTGTATATTTTTTTATCCGACTTCAAAAAAAAGTTCTGTTCGTCAATAGCGTCCTATTTTGATGATCCTTTTTTGTTCAATTATTTATTACACCCACTACTTTAAAAGCTTTTTATTATGCAGAAATTATTTTAACCTTTTTAGTTCTTTGAAGTCAGTTTTTAATTATGTAAAAACTTCGTCGCTAATTTTACCAACTTAAACGTGGTATTTTTGTGGGGACACCCTATAAGTTACTTTATAAAAGAAGATTCAATTAAATCTGTTTACAATTGGCGAAGATATTGCGTAACATATGTACATACAAAAAAACATACAGTTGATTTGAAGAACTCCTCTTAAAATATGCTAATTAATAGAATCACGTATCGTATAATGATCACTAATTTAGAAGCAAAATACGTTTCGTACTATCGATGATGGTTAATTTCATTTTCGTACGCGTATCTTAACTTATTCATAGCTCATATTGAGCTGCCTCCGAGACATTATCATACCAATTTTTCGCATGACGCCTAATTTGTCATTTCGTCACGTCTTATTCTCAGGGTGACGAGATAAGAAAACAATGGCTAAGTTAATAATCGATTGTGTCCGGGGCGAATCCACGCGCGATTATTATGCTAATGATTTCATTTGTATCGATAAAAACATTCACGCAGGTCACACCTCGACGACACTTTGAGGGTCATTTTGAATTGTCCAAGAAATTTATTAGTCACACACATTGGTGTGGACTCCTTATAATATTAAGCGAAGAAATATGTATTTTAAAAACTTACGTGTCATCATCGGCCTTAAGGAACCAATCGGCGTCTCTTCGGTGATGCTCATATACATATCTGAACGCAGCTTTTGTCTTCGCCCACAGGTGGTCTCTGCCTTCTTGAACGGGTAACTTCACAGAGGGCAACTCGCTGTCTGTCAAGAAAAACAAAACGTTCATTTCTTCAACTGATGAAGTTTTTATGTGTAGATTTACTAGGCTACTACCACTCCATTTTGTCTATTAATTTTCTGGAAAAGGTTTTCTTCTTACCTCATTTTTTTATATTATTATTACTTATTTGCCTCATTAGCACAGTTTTTAGACCTTACAGTTGGGAAACGAATGTCCTTATGCAGAGCGGTGCATGGCGGTGGGGCACTGCGGGGCAAGGGGGCGGGTCGATCTTATGCTAGCGCAGTTCACTGAGTCTGATAGACAACACATGCGGTTGGCGCGAGTGTGTTTTATAGTACTTTTTTATATGTATGTGCTTCCACAAAAATAATATAATAATAGCACAAAATAAATAGTTTTCGAAGTCAGTGCTAAGATGTTAAATACATAAGAATTAAACCCCCTACAAACATTACCATCTGATAGGCATTGCGATCGTTACGATTTACGATCGGAGACGATCAGAGCTCTTGCATCTTTGACGCTGCTGGATACCTAATTTATGTTTGACCACGCTCTCACAGAATACCAGCGTAAAATAGCAGCTTAGCGCTGTTGTGTTTTGTATTGTGGTTTCGTAAAATAAAAGTAAACTAAAGTTACAGCCTATATACGTCCCACAGCTGGGCACAGGCCTCCCCTCATTTCTGAGAGGGTTTTAGGGCAAGAAAGTGTCCGCCGCGCTGTCCCAATACGTGTTGGCGAACTTCACATGTCTTCGAATTTTTTTTCTTATTTCTCGGACATGCAGGGTTCCTCACGATGTTTTCCTTCACCGCCGTGCACGTGGTAAATCAGCACTTAAAATTGCAATTAACAATTTCATTGGTGCCGGCGGGGATCGAACCCGGTTTGCTCGCGTACTGTGAAATTTACAGCGAGCGCTAACCATCTGAGCTACCACGGCTCCATTTTATTGAGGTAAATTAAAAAAAAGTGACTTTCAATTAGTATTATTTATAATCTTTATTAAAAAGTTTCTGTTTTTGTATCAGTGTAGAGAACCGGTGACCCTTTTTACTGAAAATGAGGCATTCCAATGAGGCGACCTGGGTCAAATGAACGAATCATTCACGATTGGACACCACGCCACCACACGACTTATCTTTGAGACTAGCGACCTCGTTTGTTACTTAAACGTTTAATTTTGTACGTAGTTGCCAGACCTCTCACTTTTTGACTACTGTGCCTTGTATTATTTTAAAATCTAGCATTTCTGGTGTTTTTTTTTCGCCATTTTACTATACCACCGGCCTTTCCTGCAATTGCATGTACATTCTCCATCTTGTAACAAATAGGTAATGTTTATTCTTTTCTATGTTTTAATTTCCATGCTTAGGTAAATGCATAAGGATGTGTTTTACTTGCCTAGCATGTCGTAAAAAGCGTCTAATGGGTTCGTGACTGTGTAGGCAATGGGCTAGCGAAGTATCACTTCTTGCACAATTTTCCATCTATGCACATTTTTTGGCTAAACATGGTCTGTGTAGGTCGCTAAGTGAACTCTGCCTATCTCCCCGGGAATTACAGGTGAGACGCTTTGTATATATTATGTGTATACGGAAGCAACGATGAAAAACGAGCGCACTGTCTTCCTAATAGTAAGTACATAGGCCCATAGACATCCGTCTTTGCTTAATAATCAAAATGCAGATGCGTTGTCGCCCCTAAGGACTAAGATAGAATGCCTCGTCACCCGTAAAAAGTTTCTACTATGGAGTGTACTTAAGGAGAACAAACTCTGTATAAAAAAGTATCCGTAGGAAAAAAGCGCTAAATAAGGGTGGCGACACTGTCGCTAGAGTGTAAATTTTAAAGAACTTTTTATAATTTTTTATTGCACAGATTTTCACCATAATTCCTTATTTATTTTATTGTTTTCAAAATTTCTATTTTCAAAATCCACCGACTATTTCCAGGGTATATTTAATTCCTCATCTCAGCACATTTCCCTCCGTCGACAACTGCTAAATTCATTTCATCCCAGTAGCTACTCGAGCGCTGTTGTGGAGAGTTTTTGAACTGTTATTTACTGCTTACAGACTTACTTTTTCAACTATTCTACTATGGAAGTTGATACTCCTTACTTCTACACTCCATAATAGCTATAGTGAATTTATCGTAGACAGAGAATCCTAAAATAAAGGTAAATGAAAAAAGTGACTTTCAATAAGTATTATTTATAATACATATCGAATAAAAAAGTTTCTGTTTCTGTTAGTTTCTCACCAATGTTGAGACAGCTAGATTAGTATATTTTAGTTACTTTCATAGCGTAATGTTTTATGGAATCTTACTATGGGGTAATGCAACTGACATTGAAGCCATATTTGTTTTGCAAAAGAGAGCCTACTGGCAATTCATAACTTAAATTGTAAAGAGTTTCTTAGAGAAATTTTTAAAAAAATAAACATATTAACTATGGCATCACATTATATTTATGAAAATGTAATGTATGTACACAAAAACATAAATAACTTTCATAAGAATAAAGATGTTCATACTTTAAACACTAGGAACAAACATAAGCTTGTAATACCAGTTACTAGACTCCACAAAATTAGTAATTCATTTATGGGGCAATGTATATGCTTTTACAACAAAACTCTCTTACACTCCATAGTTTCTACACTCACTATACGAAACACAGCAGCGTTAGACTGTTATTTTACGCTGGTATTCTGTGAGAGCGTGGTCCTTCCCCGGTTGTGCTTCATTGTGTGCTTCAGCCATAATATAGCTGCAGCGTGGTGCTTTCACTTATAAAATTTTACCCTAACATTTTTTAACCTCGATTAAGAATCAAAATGCAGATGTGTTGTAACCACCTGAATGCCTAGTTTACAGTTAATGGGATCTCCCGGGTTTTTCGGGTATTACAAATCCCGGCGGAGGTACAAACCTCGGCTGCAACACAAATGCATCGGCTTGACGGGGTAATGATAACGTTCGCTCAGAATACTAACAAATTAGAGGATGCGGACTTCGAACTTCCCTGCCAACTATCTTTAAAGTTAAGACCATTGGGTCTGGAGCCTACAATGTACTTTCGCGAAATCCTGCTTTGATAATAAAAAGCTATACAGTTCAATGAATACCGACTAACCTTCCGCTGTGCTCATAAACAGCAATTTATTGCAGCGCTTGCCCCAAGTGGCTTTGACATGCTTCGCCTTTTTCTTGTGGTTGCTCGGCTGGGTCATAATCCAACATAGCACTCTGACCCGTTTCGATAACTCGTCTGCGATCGACCTGTCCTCATCTCTATGCGCTGGTTCCTCACTGCCGTGTTCTATGACGCTTGGTAACGGGTGCCTATCAAGGTCGCGTGCTGATTCTCTAAAAATGACATTGTAGGTATAAAATTGAGTACCTATCGTTGAGAAATATTCCCAATTCTAAAAGCGATAAAGTGCGAAACTAGCAAATTGTGATTATAAACCCAACTGCAACACAAATAGAGTCCCCATGTGGCATAAAAAATAAAATAAGTAAGTAATGTACAAATTAGAAAATATTAGCAAAATGTTATGGCAATAAAACGATGGTAAATTACTAGGCCCCGTGATTTTTATGCCATGATTCTGCATTCCTTTATAGAAATATTTCATTGGTTTCGGTAGTTTTATTTTAAATCAATGTATACGAGGGCGGCACTGAAAATTTCGGGAATCAAGGAAGTGACAAAACATTACTAGTTAAAAATGTATTTATTGCTTTTCAAAGTATTCTCCGCGAAATTTGACACATTTTTCCATGCGATGGAACCAATCATTGCAGCAACCATTCCATTCGGAAGTTGGGGTCTTCAAAATGGCCGTTTTGTAGGCGTCCACGGCTTCTTCAGGTGATGAAAATCTCTGTCCACGCAATTTATTCTTTATTTTTGGGAAAGTATAGAAATTATTACGGCTTAGGTCGGGGCTGTACGGCGGATGGTCTAATAATTCTATGTTTGCTTGCTCTAAAAACTCTTTTGTTCTGTGTGCGGTCGTGAGGAGGATGAGCGGTCGCATTCTCGTTACGGATTTCAGAAACGACCTGTGGCAAACAAATGCTAGCATACCATTCTGCATTAACCGTTCTTTGTCCCTCAAGAGGAATAGTCGTAACATGGCCGGTTTTGGAGACAAACGTGGTCACCATTTTTTTTGCAACACTCCGTGAACGAACAATTTTTGTTGGCCTTAACTCATTTTCGAACACCCAAACTCGTGACTGGTTTTTTGTTTCGGGTTCGTACGCGTATATCCAGGATTCGTCACCTGATACGATGTTGTATACAGCATTTGAGGATCCTGCGTGGAATCTTTCGAGAGTTCTGACGCACCAAGTAACGCGAGCCGCTTTTTGTTCTTCACAGAGCGAATGCGGTATCCATCGGGAAAACAACTTTTTTACACCTAATTGTTCATGCAAGATTATTTGTATTTGACTCATGCCAAATTCAAATTCATTTATTTGCCAGAATGTATGTGTACAATATAGTATGATCTTAAATTATGCATAATGGCCCATTTACATTCTACCATTTTATATGGTGTGCAAATATTTAATTAGTATACATGCAAAAAAAAATTTACAAGTGGGAATTCAATTAAAATGTCACATTGTTTAATGGTTGTTCTTAAGTGTTAATGTCCATACTTTCATTTTGTTTGTAATTAATCAATTATTAGATATATATCAATATTACTGACTTCGGATTTATTTTCCACTAAAAGACATAAATTCGTTTAGATCGTAAAAACATTTTTCTTTTAACCATTGTATTAACTTTTTTTTAAACGTGGTTAAAGGTAACTCTTTAAAGTCGTTGGGTATTTTGTTATATACTTTTAGTATAATTTATGTTTATTTCTAGGAGCTACATTTCGTTCAGTTACATCTATTTGCCTTTCAAAGTGTTCAGGATGCTGTTTTACAAATATGCATATTTCTTTAATGTACAAGCATGTTAATGTTAAGATATTGTACTTTTTAAACAAGGGCTTACAGCTATCCGTATACCCTGCTCCATAGATTGCACGCACACATTTTTTTTTGTACTCTAAATACTTTTATTATATCTACTGAATTGCCCCACAATAAAAGACCATATGATAGTACTGACGAAACATATCCGTGATATGCACATAGAGCAGCATCAGTTGATACCGTGACTCGTAATCTCTTTATTGCGTAGACAAATCTGTCGAGTTTGTCACAAATGTAATCGACATGTGTTTTCCAGTCGCAATTTTGATCCAACATTATACCCAGAAATTTGGTACTTGCTACTTGTTCGATGATCTTATCATTATATTTAACATTAATATTCAATAGTTTTCTCTGGTATGTCTGAAATTGGATCATTTTAGTTTTTTCCATATTAATCTGTAAATTATTACAATAAAGCCAGTTTATTATATTTTTGATTGCTTTATTTATCTCTGTTTCATATGTATCTGCATTTTCGCATTTCACGATAAGGGTTGTGTCATCAGCCAACAAGATTGTGTTATGGCGAGTCTAAAGTTGCCAATGTCTAAAGTTGCCTGAATTTCGCGGTATGTCACATGTCGATCTTCCTCAATCAGCTTACTCACAGCATCAACGTTTTCTTGAGTGACTGCAGTTTTTGGACGACCTTGACAGGGATCATCACTGAGCTTGACACGTTGAAATTCAGCAAACGAGCGATAAATTGTGGTTTTGGATGGGGCTTCATCACCAAATGCAGAAATCATCCGGTCAACACACTGTTTTTGTGTTAAACCACTTCGTAAGTCATAATAAATCATCGCTCTTGAATTTTCTCGAGTCAATTCCATTTTCTCAACGACTAAACATGTTTGACAAAACCTTGTGACAAGACCGAGAATTTTTTTTAAATAAATAAATAGTATTCGATTTTTAAAACCAAGGAGTTTTCAATTAAAAAGATTTTAATATGACAGGAACAGTGGAAATATTCCATTCCCGATACTTTTAGTGCAGCCTATGTATACCTAATGGTATACATAGGCATTTTGTAAGCATTCCGTTAATTTATATATTATATAAAATCTTGCATTAAATTTCTTACATTAAACTCAATAATGGATACTTAAGGTGGCTATTTATTTGTACTATTCAAAATGAACATAAACATGTCGATTACATTTTTTTATTTCCATCTTTATTAGCCTCTAACTGTCCAAAAAAGAAGAGGTAGAAAAAAATATGTTTTACATTTAGTGTACCTAGTCTACTTTATTTATAAGAGTAAAAATTTGGAATTGGCTGCTGTAAACGTTTCTCGGACATCAACAAAACTTAAATATACTAATTAGGTCTAATTAACAATTATCTGTTACATAGTAATAACTAACTTAAATTCCTAACGTTCGGCTACAGGCCGGGAGATAAGAGGAGATAAAATAGCTCGAACATATAAGTACTCGTATACAGCGTTTATGCGCACAGCGTAATGTAGGTACTCATCAGATTGGAGCAAGGAAAAATTTACAGCATTGCCTTAATGCGTATCGGCAAAATTCTAGTGATGAGTAAAATGCCGGATTTTCACGGCAACTGTTTTTCTTAACTATTTTAAGACACGAAATGGGGTGACAGTGCTATTAAGTTAGCTTAATGTTATGTCTCTTAAACTTATGTCATCGTTCGATAAATCGGCCTGGAAGATTTCATTCGTGTAAAACGGCAAACCCATGAGCAAACAGGTATTTGCGAATCACCAGTGTGGTCTTATTTTTTATGACTTCATTACAAACATTTCTTTACTGCCCATAAAAATATTAAGTAATTATATCTACCATTTATGAGATTTTTTAAAACGGTGAAAACCGCGTCAAAATTAACAAAGTACGTAAGTTAAGGTACACAGATAGACGTTGATTAGCGGCTGTTTTAAATACTATTTTATATGTTGTAATGATTAAAATTCACGAAACCCTTTGGTATAACGAGATTTCCCTGTAGTGAAATTTGTTATATAATAAACAAAATGTATACGATATCACAATGTCCTTCATTATAGCTAAATAACTGCTGATAAACGTTTCTACTTAACACGAAACTGCCATAAATTATAAATACTAAACGAACTCAATAAAAATATGAAGCTACAACACAATACTTCATGCATAAGACCGGTTTATGAACGTAATTACTTATTATAATATATTTTAAGACAATAATACGTTAGGGAATAAATACGAATATGAAATATTATCTTACTAGGTGGTCTCTCCATCTAGCGGGGGCCGCCACTCGAGAACCTTTCTTAGCCAACGGTTATAAGTTCCTCGAGCTATATCGATCTGGTAAAATATGCAGGAAGTTGATCTACGATCGCAAGTGGCTTGCTTTGTGTCATTCCTTAGGGGAGGTCTAGCTTCAGCAGTGGACTTGTGGACTTGTTGTTGACGATGATGATATATTATGGAAAATAGATAAGTTCAGTTTGCTATAATATTTCAAGGTCTTATTTATTCCCCCACAATAACATATATATATTCATGAAAGAAAATCTATAGTAAAATTTAAAATTTATAGGAAATTATCGTCTTTAAACAAAAATTGCACACTAATGGATAACGTTACAATATTCTAAAATAATCCATAGATTATAAAGGTAGATCCATACATTACAGCCCATGAAAGTCTACTGCTGAACATAAACCTCCCAAAGAAATTGTCTAAAAGGGGGAAGTTTGCCACTGATGCCACGCTTGGGTTGGCAACCAGTTTTTTTTATAATTTTGAATTATGATCAGTATCATGTTATGTAATTTAATGTTATGAATTATTTTTCTTTACAACTAACGATAAAAATGAAAAAAATGTTACCACATAATTATTTTAAACGGCCTCTAAGGAGCTTTCACATTGATGAAGCCTAATAAATATTGTTTTATTGCTATCACAAGACAAGAAGTATTTTTAAAGTATCAAAAAGAGCTAAGCAGATGTTTACATGGGGGTTAACTTACGCACATAATACAAGTGCCCTGCTTTTTTTTTTACTGGCCAGATATATTAACAACCAATGTAATTATGAAAAAAAAACCTTGTCGATGAGCAATTAATATATATAAATTCAACACAATTTGTACCTTAATAAGCACAATTTAAAACACTAAATTAAAAAAAAAAACATAAAGTGCTCGTTTAATGAATGTAAGCAACACACACGTGTAACATGCCAAGCCATGCCAAATAGATAGAGTGTTACCTGTTGTTGGTGTACCAAGCTACTTCCCGCGAGAATCCAGACGAAGTTAGCAGTATGTATGCGAAACTAAAACCGGCCGAGATCCCAATCACCAATGTTAACACAAAACGGCGACCCATCACCCGTCCCTCGGCCTGCACAAGAGTATACGTCGCGAACGTTCACCCAAGCGCAGCTTCCACCAAAGTGCACGTGAGTGAACTTTCACGAAAGTGTACGTGGGAAAACTTGCCCAAAAGTGTACGTGAAAATAAAATCTGTTATATTTTAGAAGCGTTATACAGCGTATTCACGCAACGAACTGTCGCGACTCAGTGTCTGAAATATTGATATATATGTAACAATACGGTTTTTAATGCGTAAGAACATCGGTAGGTACGTCATGTTTTGGTATTTGAATGGTTTCTTAAATAATAACACAGCGACAATTGTGTCAATATATTCGCGTCGTAACGCTATTGAACATAATCTCATGACAACTGCTTAATGATTGGAACTAACATATTATGTCACTAATTATAATATTTTGGGTTCGGAAAGAATCTTATTTAACCTTCAAGAAAAGAGCTTACTCCTTTCTAAAGTACTGGCAACGCACCTGCAATTCCCCTGGTTTTGCAGTTGTTCATGTGCTGCGGTAGTCATTTAACATCAGGTGAACCGTATGTTCGTTTGCCCCCTCTTCTATTAAAAAAAAAAACATCATTTTTATTGTACCGATAGCTGTTGTTGTGACTCAGATACTAAAATTATTATAATAAAACCAGAATTTCGTCAGTCTATCCGCAAAAAAAGTGCAGCGAGGAATTTTGAAGTGGCAATGAACAATTAGTTCATTGCTACTTCAAAATTCCTCCCTGCTGCCTATTATATAAGAAGAGTTCTGTTCAAAGGTTAGTGCGTCTACAAACCTTTACCTTCTACCAGCAATAAAATATGATGCCACCCTGACTATTCACCATGGCAATAATTAACTCATCATTATCATTAACAGCCTTGGTTGCTCAGATGGTTACCGCTCGCTGTAAATTTCATTGCACGCGGGCAACCCGGGGTAGATTCCCGCCGGCACCAATGAAATTGTAAATTGCAATTTTAAGTGCTCTTTTACCACGTGCTCAAACAAAACATCGTGATGGTACCTGCATGTCTGAGAAATAAGAAAAAAAATATTTCAAAGACATGTGAAGTTCATCCTAACCTTAAGACAGCACCCAGCCACGCCATTTATTGATTTCTTTTAATTTTAAAGAGCTTCGCGAGTCGTACTTGCCAGAAATTGATAGATTACTATATCTATTCTTGTGGAAGGATTTTATGTCTATTAAATATTTCTCATAAGGGATCTGTAACCGTAAACACCTGGGTATGTCAACATTCTGCGTAGTTCCATCGAATTAAAATCTGAGGGTAGCCCGGGTTAACAATGACATCAGAATGTCAAATACCTCAATCCTTCTGTGACCATAGATTTTGCAACGCGCTCGAAACGTCGGGAAATTAAACAGAAACTAAAATAAACATGTAAAAGTTTTTAATGTTATAGTATACAATTTGCAGAATTCACGTAAATAAAAAGTCATCACTTCAGGTTTTTGTCTAGACCATTGTTAATATTACTAAACCGAATGGATACATGACATTATTTAATTCAATTACTTTTTACAGATTAAAAATCTATACAGGTAATATATTATACAATTTAATAAACAGTCGTTGCGTGAATACACTTACAAGATAAGCAGACCTCATTGTTATGTCTGAGAACACAGTACCACAACCTCACAGTGCCACCACCACTGCAAGTATCACTAAGTATAAGACATTGCACATTAAACGTAAGCCAGTAGTGATGTAACGGCTTATAGCTGTTTGTTTATTTATCGATTGTTTGTTGATTAACAGACACCCGATGTTCTCGAGTTTCAATATCTCGGTGACGTAAGCTCGAAGAAACAAAGCGATGATATGTAAACACTAGCCGACAATTTTTGAGATAATTTCGAGAATATTTAAAATAGTATTGAAGACGCATTTTGAGTCGACTCGAACCATGGGTTTTGCAAGTGAACAATGGGAAATGACAGTAAAACTTGGGGATAAAGGCAAATGGTAAAATACATTTAAACTACACCCTTCTCTGTAGTCTTCAAATCTAAATATTAACTAAGATATGGTCAAATATCATATTTGATATACTAATTACCACATTAAAAATTATTAAATCGGTTCCTCTTAACAGGGTTTTATGAATAAATAGTTGAACCCGATTCCTACAATGAAACATTTTATCACAAATGAAAAAGAGACTGCTGCCAGTCCGACACTTGTACGGGAAGAGGCTTAAAAACGCTAATTTTTAGTCTAGGTTCAAGGTCCACGTACAATTTATGCTCAAAAGCGCGTCCACGACACAGTAGAAATTTCTATCGCGTTCTGAAGTTTTTACAAAAGATAAAAGAAAACCAACTGTAGATGATAACTGCGTTACGTGTACAATAAATCCCTCTTTGAAAGAAAAAGTTATCAGAACGAATCCTTTGGTCATTAGGATGCAGTACAAGAATTTTCAATAAAAATTTTAAAATAAAAAGGTAATTTTAAAGATTTTTCTGGATTAAGAGCCATATTCAACTCTTTTGTCCAACTATCCCATGTCGAAAGCCATGTAATTAAGACATTTTTATAGTCTAGTTACCACTTCCAAGGAATTCAAAACAAAGTGCTCTAAATCTGCAATCACTTGACGTAGAGGCTAAAATATTAAAGACCTACGAATAGTCAGTTACTAGACATGCGAATAGTAGTTACCTTTAGAATTTATGAATCAACGTATTCATCTTTTAAATGGACCCAGACAGTTAGCGGTATAAATAAGACCATTGAAACATTCAAATGTTCCAAAAGCTTCAAATGAACATTTGATCAGGTCGCCCTTTCCAATTGCGAAAGTATTTCGCTAGACTCAAGCGAGTTAGTAATTGGAGAAGCATTAAATAAATTGAAACACTTGGTAAGACCTAAATTGCACGTCTAGTTGTTTGGTATTGTGTGTAGAACAATATAGTGCGCACATGCAAGTTACTAGTCTGTCCTTTTATTGAATCAAGGGTGAGAAACGGGCACACAGTCCGCACATGCTAAGTAGATGCTGTGACTCATAAACATCTTTTATCTTCGATAAAGAATCAAAATAGAGATGCGCTGTCACCCCTGAGTACTAAAGTAGAACATCTCTTTTCCAGTAAAAAGGGTCTCCGGTTCTCTACACTCACCATACGAAACACAACAGTATTAATCTGCTATTTTACGATGGTTTTCTGTGAGAGTGTGGTCGTTCAAGATCGAGCCGACTCATTTGTGTCGCAACCATAATATAGCTACAACGTGGATCTAGGACGTAGCACTAGGTGATTTAATTTTTTCTAACACATAGTTTGATTAAGGGGCCGAAGAAAAAGAAGAGGAAGAAGTTATAAATTGAACCAGACACGTAGACTAAACATTGATAATGTTGTAGCGCTAAAGCGGGCTGTACATCCTCATTTTTTACCGGGCGATTCAACTGCTCACATTCAGTTCAAAAACTGTACCGTATCTTCGTTATGGCCTTTGTAAACAACACGTGGCAATTATTAATACATAATTTTCGAACATAAATGTTAAAACGCAGACTATGTTGGAATTTACTAATAGACTATGTTGGATTTTACTAATAGACTATGTTGGAATTTACTAATAATGATAAAAAATGGAAGTTGTCCAACCGCCCGCCAAGATTAGTTTCACGTTTCACAAGGAGTTTTTTTCCACGTACAACCTCTCTGTGGAATAGTTTACCACCGGCGATTTTTCCGGACCGATACGGCCTGGGGACCTTCAAGAAAAGAGTTTACTCCTTTCTAAAGGGCCGGCAACGCACCCGCAATTCTCGTGGTGTTGCGGTTGATCATGGGCGGCGGTAGTCACTTAACATCAGGTGAGCCACATGCTCGTTTGCCCCTTCTTCTATAAAAAAAAAAGCAACAATGGCTAATATCCCCCCATGAGGCGTTCTATGGAGGAGGCCTATGATCAGAAGTGGACTTGAGCTGGCTTATAATGTTGAATTTGGTAGATGAAAACCAATAACCATTAGGTGGACAGTGTGATCGTTTGTCATCCTTACTTCTTAGACTATATATATTCATACATAGTCTTATTTGTATCTCTAAGTTATGTCTCCTAGGCTATATATACTCACATATCTCAGGCTATATATAAACTCAGCCTTACTTCTATTAAAAAAAACATTTTCTTTAACCAAATTTTCCCACCAGTCTCATTGTTATTGTAATAAAAACATCTCAACTTAGGGGAGATAATGTCCATGACATGTTTAAATTCTCACCACGGTAACACACAAGAGTCCATTACCCTAATGAGAACGTCAGGCGCTTCCCGTTCCTAATGTGTTGCGGCCACGCTAAAGTAGGGCAACCAATAATGTTGAAAAACAAAATTGTGAGGACAAGAGTGACGTCTGGTACTAGGATCACCGATTAGCCGATTGGTCTACGGACCTAGGACCATGTCTTGCTGAACTACTCACAGGCTGTATCTTATCTGTATCTAATAGGAATGTATCATTACAAACCGGTTAAAAATGTTAATTGAAACAACAAAACGTTCAGAAAACAAATCAAAACATTCAAATGGAATAGTAGTCAAGTGCTGGCTTATAATAGTTAGAAAAAAAATTACTATATTAGTAACATTAATTAATAACATCCAATAATTTGCCTGTATCTGTATTTTCGTCCGAATGACATATGAGAAAACTTAAAAGGAAGAAAAGCATTTTTATAGCATTCGGTGACAAACGAGCACACAACTGTCCACCTGATGGTAAGTGGATGCTGTGGCCCATAGACATCCAAATTTATCCCTAATTAAGAATCAAAATGCAAATGCGTTGTCATTCCTGAGGACTAATATGGAATGCCTCGATTCCAGTAAAAAGGGGAGACCCTTTTTACTGGTTCTCTACACTCACCATACGAAACACTGCAGCATTACGCTGCTATTCTGTGAGAGCGTGTTCCTGCCTCGGTCGAGCCGACCCATTCGTTCTACAACCATAATATAGCTGCAGCGTAGCTCTACCACGTATAGATATACTTTTACGAGTGGGTTTCATCACCTAAAGACTTCATCACTCCTTATCATCTAGCGATCTATCTAAATGTGAGAGAGTAGTGTGACGTTGACAAGTCGATAATAAAGCCCAACCTCTTCGCTTCGTATTGTTATCTCAGAGCTATGCACGTGTATCACGAGTGTACATATATACTTTTTAGTCCTTGCCAGAGAAAGTACTTGTGAAAAAATAAATCGTAATTATTGGATTTCAGGATTTGATATTAGACATAAATCTTACTCCTAGGTTCGCTTTTTTTTTAATTTCTCGGACATTACTAACAGAAAGTCACTTAAAATTATGATAACAATTTCCTTAGCACCGGAGGGTACGAACCCTGGTAGATCGCGTTTTACAGCAATTTACAGCGAATTCTTAGCCCATAAGCTACCTCAACTATCAATGAAATTAAATTATTATATATTATGTACTTACGTAATAATAAGTTATGACATTGATTGTAAAACAAAAATATCTTATTTATTTAATTAGGAAAATAGAAAAAAATACGTACGGAACAATCATCGTGGACATTTTTCTGATTGCAATACATTGTTCAAACCTAGACTGCAGAGAAATGCCACAATGCATAACAAAAATCGAAGACAATTAAAGTTCTATCTTTATGACTAATAAAAATTTATGCATTCTTCGTGCACTTCAGGTGTACTTACAATCATATTTTTAAAATGAACGCGGGCGTGACTGTACGGCGCCATTTTAGGATTTTAAATAAAGAATTATTTGAGAGTTGATGACTTCAATTAAAAATAATATTTTTAGGTATTTACTTTTTAGATATTGAAGTGTAGCGCACAATTAAAACGATGCAAGTGACTGTAAAATTGTTTTATCAACGTAACTAACGATCACAAATCGCTGTGCAAATTGAGTTGGACGCTTGTTATGTTGTTTTCTTTGTAAAGAAGTCGAACGCATTTTTAGTTTTAGGACTGACAAAGTCATTCTGAGTAAACATATTAAAAATAATCCTTTAAGGTGCTGATTACCAGCACAAAAGCATGCTTTTATTGAGCAAATGCTCATTAGTAGCACGTGTGTCGCAACATTGCTAATAATGAGTTTATTTTGAGCATGCTCAAAAATCAACCGAGGTTGGATTTTCGAGCATGCTGCGCACAACTGAGGCGCGAGTAGAAGGGTGTGCTCATTACTAGCACGAAAGCATGCTTTTATTGCACAAGTGCTACGTGTGTCACATCATTGTTAGTAATGAGCGTGCTTATTTTGAGCATAGGAGCGACTTGTAGGTACACAGCTACGTTGAATGATACGCGTAAGCGCCATGAAATTCCTGGCGCCTATGACATTTTGGTCGCGAGAAACCTAACCCTTAATGCAAACTAGCGCTGCTTGTTTTAATAGTTCGGTTAGACGACGTAACTATTATCTTAACGCTGTGGACTTAGTTCTAACTCTTACCAAAATGAAGCAAACTTTTGGTTCGGGGTGTCTGTTCTATACGCTAGCAATATAGTTCGATGATTCTCGCGAGCATTGTAACAACGCGAAAAACTTTAAATTAAAGAGTTTTGATTTAAAGTTTTTCGCGTTGTACATCCATTTCATTACCATAATGGTACGTATAGACGTGCTCAAAATAAGCATGTTTATAAGCTTACTTAGAATGAGCATGATCTGCAACTGTTCACATTTGCCAGCAATAAGCACGCTTAATTGTACGTACAAACGTGCTCAAATAAAAGCATGTTCATAAGCTTGCTTAAAATGAGCATGCTCTGCAACTGTTCACATTTGCCAGCAATAAGCACGCTTAACGTACAGACGTGCTCAAAAAAAGCATGTTCATAAGCTTGCTTAAAATGAGCATGCTCTGCAATTGTTCACATTTGCCAGCAATAAGCACTCTCAAAGCATGAGAAGTGCTATTTGGCACCGGGGTCTCGGCCGTAATGGATGTACAAAGACATAGTGACAATGCTATCCATACAGAACTTAACAAAGAAGAGATAAATATGTGAGCAAAATTTAAAACAGTTTTTCATATAATATTACTTCTAATTGATTTGAATGAAAAAGAATAGAACAATTTGTATTTAATATCGTTTATAGAAATGCTTATTGACAGTAATTTATTCTTTTATTCCTAAAAAAGCTCTGTCCTGGGAAGAACCAGCAAGTAATACGTTTTTTCACTTTCTTCAAGAAAAGAGCTTACTCTTTTCTAAAGGGCCGGCAATGCACCTGCAATTCCCCTGGTGTTGCGGTTGTTCATGGGCTGCGGTAGTCACTTAACATCAGGTGAACCATATGCTTCTAAAAAAAAAAATAATATGTTGTACAATCAAAAATTAAAACATTTAGAAACAGCAAAGAGCGATAACCTCAATCCTAGGGATTATTATTAGTCAGTTTAATAGTATAATATGTTTTAAATATTTTCGATATATTAGTAGTGGTTGATAACATACTTGCCATTTTTGCTAAAATGACCCTGGTCATATGCTACTATAGCCGGTAATTAAATATTATTAGTGTACTACTTCCTTTTATCTACTAATGATTATATTTTTTATAAAACTGATTTGACAAACAAATGTATAAAGGTGGCAATACGAGGGCCACATACGGCAGCCATACACGCCGCCACCTGGCGCTAGAAGCGGCTACAAGACGCGACAGCCACTTGTGGTCGGTGGAAGACACTTGCGTTCGGTGAATTAACACATTGCTTACAGTATCATAATGGACTCAGACGTAGGTTTAATAGCGCTACTGCTGATAAAAAAACGACGTCATAGAAGGCGAAAATACCACCGTTATTGAATACATCCAATTTTAGTGGCCTGTGACACAAGAAGCGAGTAGTGACAATTTGTAACATGTTGCGACCACTGGCGTCAACTGTGTGCAGCGAATCCATCTAAAATGTATGAAAACCACAGGAAATACTTTGGTGGCCAGTGGCCCATGTGCGGCTTAGCCACCTTATCCTAAGTGGCTACTGCAGTCCATAGACACCTACAACCAACTTCAAATAAAGAAGCGACATAAGCGTTGTCACTTCTGAGGACTAAGATGGAATACCCCACAGCCGGTAAATATTAAGGGAGTATACTACGTCAAAAGGCTTGGCATGATCCTCCGTTATGCTGAAAAACTGCAACATTAATTTTATAATAAATATATGGTAAAGTTGAGGATTAATGTTAAGTACTATGTTAGATAAAAATGCCATTCCATAAAATTTTCTCTATAGAAAAGAAAATCTGCTATGTAAGGTCTGTTAATACTAATCATCATATTATTATGTACTACATTCTAGAATAAATAAATTTGAATTTGAATTTGAAAATCAAAGTTACCTCCAAACTGAACAATAAACCACTGGTATTCACAAAATACTTCAAATTACATTGTGAAACTTTGCATACTAACTGAACTAACTATAAAAAGCAGGTCTGTATTTATTTTTAATTATTACAGTGAATTTCGGTTATAACGACGGCGGAGGGACCACTTTAATGTCGTCGCTATATCCGGAGGTCTCTATATCCGAAATAATAAAAAGTCATGTACATATTTACTTATCATTTATTTAATTATGTTATACATGGGTGTTATTGAAAAAACGTGTTATAGTGCACTGTTTAAAGTTTAGTTTTTTGTCCACTCTGTAAGGTGTATTCCATTTTCATAATTTCTTCAACATCTAAATTATTCTGGCCTTCACCAAATAAACATTTTGAGCGTTGTTATAGCACATAATGCATCTCTAGTTGTTGGAATCTCATTTAGATTGCAATCTTCTTCCTCTTCTTCATCCTCCTTTTCTTATGTTATAAAGCATAGACTCAATAATTTCATTATCAGTCAAGTTATCAGTAGTGATAACTTGATCGTCAATATTCACATAAGTTTCCCAATCCGTAACGTTTGCTTCCGCTGATGATAATCTCGCCAATGGCAAATTGTCCAATTCATCATCAGAATTGTCATCAATTGTATTTAAATTCGAAAAATTACCAAACCCAGCATGTGAAAAACATTTTTTTATTGTGCCTGGAGTAACTCGTGCCCATGCTGTTGTCATTTCAATGGCATCCAGAATATTGATGGCAAATCTGTAAATCCAGCTTTCTGAACATACATGCTGTTTGGCAAAATGATTAGCTTTCTCTTGCAAAAGAGGACCGCTTATGGGTACATTTTGACTTTTCTGAGCTTTAAACAACACTAGGAGAGCATTTTCAATATCTTGATGAGTTGGATTACGATTTTTCTTTATTTTTAGGGATTTTGATTCAAAACACTCCATAATTTTAGCGCGATTTTTCCACATCGTTGATATTGTAGAATGTGAAACTCCAAATTGTTTACACAGATCCACATGGTTTTCTCCATTTTGCAGTCTAGAAATGATGTCCACTTTAACAGTAAATGTACGTCTGGAGCCATATTCACAAGTTTAAGAAACACTGTGCACTCACTTTTTTTAAAAAAATTTTTTTTAAAAAATAAAAATTATTTTGGTTAAAAAGAAATAACATAAACTATTGGCGTTTTAAAGCTAGTTCCCTGCCGCACAACACCCCCGCTCAGTTTCGCTTGGAAACGCTGTGTTGCTTGTGCGAAGAACCCACAATATGCAACAGGACCATGTGAAATTAAAATGGGAAATAACCGTAATAAAAATAAAAAGCGACAGAGTTGGTGTAAAGAAACAGGCAAACATATGATAAACATAATTAGGTATATATCCAAAGAATTGGCTTCCATCTGCTATATCAAAATTATGCTCAAAGCACTTTAAAAGCGAAGATATGTACTACGAAAAGATTGGTCGTACAATTTAAAAAAAAGGATCATTTCCTTATTTTGCAAGTGAAGTAAGTTGTATGTTATTTATAGCGGTACAGGTACAATCTTGCAGAAGCCGGTTTCTTTTATACTGGCCATGCAGACAGGACCAAGTGTTTCCATTGTGGTGTTTGTTTAAAAGATTGGGAAGATTATGATGATCCTTGGCAGCAGCATGTTCAGTGGTTTCTATTAACAGTATTAGTGATTAAAAACATAAAGGTAGATAGCACACAACACGCGAGGAAGTGGGGGCGAAATTAGAATTTGAGCTGAGGTTGGCTATTAGTTCTCTATACTATTCAGAATGTATCATGGCAATTTCATATTTCCATTTGCAGGCACTGCTATTAAGCAGCAGAAATATGTAACAAGTGTGGTACCTGCCCAGGCAGACTCCTGGGCAAGAAAGTAGTCCTATCACCAGCTGAAGTATGTTACATTTATTGTTTTTATGCAAATAAAACTGTGCATCACCAGTACCAAAACTTTTGCTATAGGTATTTAATATATGAAAATGATTTTACATCAATATGAAAATGATATGTCCAGTTGTATGTGTCCCATGTGGCTAACCAAAACCTATAATATTTAAAAGTTCCTGTGTCAGCAATCCCTTTAAATATGAAATTGATCTAAGTAACAAAAATTGCTTTATAAATTTTAATCATGGTTTATTGTTCTCTAACAAAACAGAACATAATAAATTCATTTGAGCTTACACATTTTACACCACAGAATATGACAACAGTGATTAAAAAAGCAATAATTTATAATACAACTCTCAGTATAGTTTACACTTTGACCTCTGATAATAACAGATCAAGTACAATCTGATTACCTACTGAACAAAATGAAGTTAATTTTGTTAAATATGTAACTATTAAGTTGTATTGAATAATTATTATAGTGGAATTTTACTATTAATTTTTAGTAATTTTGATTTTATATATGTTATCAAGAACACTGATATATTAAGTTTTTAGTATATGAACTGTATAGTGTCCAGAGGGAGGCTTACAGAGTAGTATGGTCTGCAGCAATTTAACTCTAAATATGATTATAAAATAAATTTATAAATAATAATATATGGTGGTCACACACATCCTAATTCCTAAACACACAACAGAACAGAACAAGGAATCAGACATTAGTCTAATAATATAATGTAAATTTGTATATTCACTATGTATATATATAGCGAATACACAATATATCTTACCAAATACTTGATGGAAGCTTTTCTCAATAAACAACAAAACTACTCAGCTATATGAATATGCACCCAATAAGTAAATGATTGTTAAATTCACAAGCTATGACTAACTAATCATGGTTATCACAGTGGAAGTAGACAGGAAGTACTAAAGTGGATAACAGAACCCACTAACCCACTATTATCATTATTATTTTAGAACTGCCATCAACTGTCATATTATTTGCTCGTTTTGTAACTGTAACAACTAAATGAATAAATTTGTCCCCGAAAACAATCAAATTTTAGACTGCTAGAAATAAACTATATACTTATCTCATACATAATATACATATTACAAACACAACTTACGTACATCAAAAGTTTTTAAAGTGGAATTTGGAATAAAGCTGTGGATATTAGACAAGAGCCTAGATATTTATAATTTAATTATAAATATCTAAGCTCTTGTCTAAGTATTTAATCCAGTTGCTTAGATATGGAGCAGTCAGAAACAAATTGATCTACACAAATAATTTTTTTACTTACGGTCATTTTGATTTTTAGATTTGATTTTATATTAACTATTTAAATGTAACAAAACATATTTTAATACACATTTTACTCTTTTCGTCATAATAAATATTTTACACAAACATAATGTTTCCAATTCGAAACATAAAACATGAAAACACCACTACTATAATCATATTATCATATACATATAATCATAGCATAGATAACTGTGTATATACTAAAGATAATCATAGTGATTACGGATGTTCATTGGATGTTCGATGTTAAAAATTAAAACCGATGTTTTAACATCGATGTGGCCACATGTCTAACATTGAAACAACGATGTCATTGAACCCATAATCGATAATAAGAACTTGTGAACAACGAGAACCCGCGAAATCAATATCAACTAAATCTTGCATCTCCTATTAAAGATTTAAAATTTTGAATAATTCAGAATTCCTAAACGCATCGATCACCTAAAAATATCATTATGGTGTGTCAAACTTAGCTGTCAAGTGTGAACTGTAATGTCACAGTTGTCATTGCTCTCACTTTGTTATTCTTTGGTGTCGTTGTCGGTTGTCACCAAAAACTATTTCACGTAAATTTATATTCAAATTAATTGTTTTTTCCCTTGCTGCCTATGCCCACATAATTTAGAAACAATATGTAAGTATCTACACAATACAATTATATTTAGCTGCTTTTAGGAGCTTGGCAAAATGAGTTTATTGTTTGCTTGAAGGTTATGAAAATAAATCACAGCGATCGTGAGCAAAGACAATTTCACTGCAGAGTGCATTCAACTGTGTACATTATAAACGGATGTGGAAACTTATTGCTTGGGTTTGCCTGATTAAAAATGGTGAACAAAGGTGACAGAAAGGTCTATTATTTCGTTTTTGTGTAGTTTGTTAATTTTTTCTCCCAAAATCAGATAGAATTTTATACAAAACCTACGTTTAAAACGTAAACTAAGTCCCATAGCTAACTTTTTATACCGGATTTATGAGTGTGTAGGAACATTTAAAAATCAAAATAATAGAATTCATCATCATTGGAAAAAAATTAACAAATGAACTAAATATTTGCCAATTTCTTCCCACATTTTTAATAATAGTTTGACACAAAATTTTTTATTAATTCCTTTTGTTTCATTAATAATAAACCATAAACAACATTACTAATTCTTCATTCATCTAATTTTAACCTATTAAATAGGTACTTGGGAAAAAAAACATCGATAATGGACAACATCGATGTTTTGAGTAGAATAAACATCGAACATCGATGTTTTGAGTAGAACAAACAACGAACATTGATGTTAAGCTATCGATACAAACATCGATGTTATTATCGATGTTTCTGCAACATCAGACATCCCTAATGAAGTGAACCAAAATGACATGTGTGAAAAAGTCGGAAAGAGTGAAACACATAGATAAATAGATATGTAGCAAGCTACAGATACGACCATAGAGAAATTATAATATCGTATATTTCCGAAAAAGAGATACGTTTTATGTAATGTTTAAATTTCATTATATTTTCCATATTATAATCAAGTATAGGCGTATACCAATAGTTTATAGCATATATTTTTGCACTGGACAGTGCAGCAGCTGTGCTGTATGATCGGATAGCGCAAACTCGAAGACATAAGCCTTAAATGATTTATTAAAATTGTGCGCAAAATTGTCTAAACATGTTAAGCTAGCCATGCGAGTTGGTTGTTTTAATGCCGGTTTCAAGTTATATCTAATTAACAAACATTTAAATGCATTTGTGAGACTAATTTCTTTAAGAACATCTATATTAAAGTCTCCACCAACAACAACTCTTCCGCCATGGCGAGGTTGGTTTGTGTACTATGACATATCAACGCCTTTATTTCGATACCAATTTCATGAACAAGATAGAAAGCTTGTGTTACTAGCCGTGCTTTTAATTTAGCGCTCGTACCCTTAATCAAAAAGTTGGCTATGGATACTTTTCATGTTGTGTTTATACCGAGCAATAAAAACACTAATGCGTCAGAAGCTTCATTAGAATTATCAGATATAAAATCGAACACGTAATCGACACAGCTATACTATCTTTAGCTGCTAGCATGGTATTCCGTCAATTGCTTAACTTTCATTTCATCCAAGACCAAGGTACAAATTTTTTTTATCAGGATTACTTTCCGCTCTCAATTTTAATGCCATCAACGCTTCTTGAGTAAACCTTGGTCGGCCATCGATGGTACTCTTCCACTTAATCAATGGCCGTGGTGCAGGTAAACATGTTCCAAAAGTTTTACGTACATAGTGATAGGCTTTTGGTGAGTAATAATTAAGTGTTACGGCAAAACATCTTAACTCTGGGGAATATTTATTTTTGGGCAGTTTTCCAATCTTACTTTTAACTAATTGTCTCTTTAAGAGTTCACTTTCTTTAATTCCTATCTTTTCTAGGACCTGTTCTTTATTTATCAAAGATGTCTCTGTCAGCGAATCTAGTATTTCTTGCTAACTTGTAACTTTTTTCGTTAAATACCGTTTTGCGATTGAAGCCATTTTATGCTATTGTTTTGTATGTAAAGGCATTTTTTCAGTTTAATTTTCCTTGACGTATATTTTAAGTGTTGGCTCGTAATTGCGGTGAGAATAGGGCTAGTTGGGGCTATATAAGGAATTTTCTTCGAATTGTGATTTTCGAGACAACTAATGGAATTTTCCGAAACATCCATCTTTCTTTTTTTCTTTGTAGACGATGTTGTACAA